ACCAGTTTCCTAACACTTTATTTATTTTGTTTGTCTCACAGGGGCTTTTATTCCTATAACATTCCTATCTCATAAAGAGCCCAGCACACACAAATTGCTCAATAAATACTTATTAAGTTAATGGAAAAAATAAAGGAGTGAATGAAAGCATTAGAGGAGAGAAAGGATAAAGAGGAAATGAGGTTTTGTTGCTGCTTTTTTCTTTTTTACAGCTGAAGAGGAGTGTTCTCAATGAGATAATCACAATTTTTTTTTAATTTAAAGAAAGAAAAGCCATTTTCCAAGAGGGAGAGCACATTTAGACATCTTCTGTGGATTTTTAGAAAACAAAATTATCACCACTACTGTGTCAGTAGTTAGATCACAGCCTCATCTACCCCTTTATGGGCATTACTCACGCCATTGTGGTCATAAAGTTCAGACCTGCTCTTACCACCTCTGCCACCACTGACCTGCAGCACCTACTCAGTATGGCTGAAAAGGAGGGATCACCTCACATTTGCTCTGGCAAAATAACACCTATCAAGTCCTTGGCTTCCCCCAGAGCTACCCCGAGAATCTGGGTTTTTACCTGTCAGTAGCATGGACTCCAATCAATAAAAGGCAGAGGAAGAGGAAATCGGGAGATAAATTGCTATTATTTTCTGCTCCTTTCCTCAAATGTCCGTTCTGAGATGCAGTAGTTGAAAACAGCCTCTCTGCAGAGACTCCCCATAATATACCCACTTGTGTTTACTTTCCCTCCTTCTGCTTTTCCATTCCCATCTTGTATGGCTATTGTATTTTCTAATAAAGTGTTAACACATAAGAATTTACCTAAAGTTCTGTTTCTAGAAAACCAGGGCTAAATAAGCAATTTTTATGAAATTTACCAATGTCCAATATACTACTGACTATTAAAATGCAAATGAAATGAATTAGGCCATTTTTAATAAGAACGTTCACTTATTTCCATTGAATTGTGGTTGGTTCCTGGGGAGAGTTGAAGTTGTATAGAACAGTCACCAAAACAGGACAGTCATGAAGAATAATCAAGCAACAAAGAAAGAGCAGTTCTCATTGTGGAGTGTCAACAGGAGATAATCAGGAACACATGGCTCTGGTGAGTATAAGTGTATTCTTCAAATAGCAATGTTTGCATCAGAAGAGCATGTACTAAGGAGATGTTGTGCCTGTTTATAATTTAATGTTGCTCCCTATGTTATGCAATGTTACAGTGTTATAGTCCATGAAAGGAGATAAATCTACTGAGTCACCTACTCCACTGAGGACAACACAACTGTGTTTACATATTATGTTGGAATAGTTTTAAGACTCAGCGGATGATCAGACAATATGCAAACATCCAATGTTGAGAGAAAATCCAGAAGAAATGACAACAGTACATCTGCTCAGCAAGGCACTTTGGACTGTTCATGTGGGAAAATGAATTAAAATTTGGCCAGAAATAAGGAGAGTACTTCTTTAGTATGCAGACTTGGCAGATTCTACACCATGATCTCAATTCATACTGAAAACAACTCTAGATATTGAATCAGATCCTACTGGTAAAAGTGTGGAGGTCAAAGTTACTCACCTTAAGTATTTGCTACTACAGAAACCTCTGTTGCTAAGCTGATAAAGTGCAAAGTGTCCTTTCAAAGATGCAAGAAAAACTGAGACATACCACTTGTTCATCAATGAATGAAAACTGATTTGAAAAAGACTCTGAGTATATGCTAGTTTCTCAGAGTTTATCCCCACAGACATTATCATATTCACTGACAGATTTTTTTAAAATATGCTCAGCTGAAGACTTTCATATGATTTTTTTTCATCTTAGGTTTACTCTCAACTTACACAACCTGGATGAACAGTTGAACATTTAAACACACTGGTTATTAAATTTCCTTTGTGGTTTTTAGCATCTTTTTATTTATGAATATGCGACAAAAATAAATGATTTTTCCTGGAAATTTATATATATGCATACATACAATATATTGTACAAAATTTATGGGATTCATAGATATCTTATACATCCAAATACATTCTCTTTTTTTTTGTTGTTCATTTTTAGATTTCCATGACAGTAGAGTGTATTTTGATATACATACATGGAGTACATCCAAATACATTCTTGAATCCAAGAACTTTTGGAAACACTTAAGATGCATGGATTCAACTTAAGAAAAACTCTAATAATACGAATACTTAGACTTGTCAGTTAAAAGTAATAACAAAATTCAAAATTTATCGATAGAAACAATACTACTTCTACAAAACACCTAAAAGCTAATTCTATGTCTTTAGGAACACCTATACAGAATTTCCTCAGTTATTTTTTAATGAACTTCATAAGCAATTGTTTTGTATAATAATATACATTGCTCCTATATATACACCAACATATTGATTTCTTTCTTCATATTTGATATATGAAATAATATTTCATCATTTGCAATTGAATTATTATTTTCAGAAGATATATTGCAAGTAGTATCTATTTATATCTGATTTTAACTGAAGACTGCATAGTAGCTTTTTTCTACATTCCTTCCTATATCTAATAAATACTGGATCTAAAAAATCAGTGGCCAACAAAGGATAAAAATGGAGATACTAGGCAAATGTTTGAAAATTCAGTTTTCATATCCACTAGGTTTCTAAACTATAATTTTGAATTTAGAATCTTGCTTATGTTTAAACTATTTAAGACTGTGAATCATTTGGAAACCCAAGTCATCACATGTTTGGCATTTTTGGTAAAGAAAATTCTAGAGTGAATGTTTTAAGATGGTTTATAAGTAACAGAAGATCCAAAGTTGAAATGGAATTTTCTGTGACAACCTACAAATAACAGTTAACATATTCCTAAATTACAAACAAAGCAGAAATCATGAAAAGTCAAGTAGGGCAGCAAAACAAACAAACAAACAAACAAACAACAACAACAAATGGCTGAAAGTTAATGAGTAAAACATTTTATCTAAAATTCTTAGAAAATATTTTAGGCATTTAAATATATAACTGTTTCCACTATTTTTAAAGAAATTATATTTACCACTGCTAGAAACTAACAAGAAGTGACTTTTAAAGTCAGTTTCATCCATCATAAATTTGATGTGTTCAAGAAAAGAAAAAGTGCAAATAAATGCTCGTGCACATAAACCCAAAATACACACTCCTCAATAATAATACAGTGTCCAAAAATTGATTCACATTTGCAGTTGAAGTTTCAACCAAGGGTGTATCTACATATATTATCTGCTATTGTTTGTCATATTTCTTGATCAAACGTGTTCCTTGACATTATAGCTAACAAACGCGGACACTCAAAAGTCTTCTGATTTTCTTATTTAAATGCAATGTTATTTTGTATTTCAGTAAGTTCTTCCAGTTGTGGTTCCACAAATTATAATGACAGCTTTGAAATTACATTTATTGAGAGCAAAATTATTTATTGAGAGCAAAGTAGGAACCAAGTGGCTTGATTTCTGTTCCTCTGGGGCTGCACCATGTCATAATGCTAGCCACATGAATTAGCTAAACATCTTTAAGGGTCAGTAGTCTTATCTATTAAGTTGATGACAATCATACCTACTGTACCTATCTCACAGTATTGTGAGTCTAAAAGCAATAAATAAAAGTGTTTTTAAAACAAATAGTAGTGACACTGGCGGTATTGGTAATGAGGGTAGTAGCAATAGGATGGCATCCAAAAGGAGATTCTTTTCCAAACAATAACCATCATCAAATAGACCTAAATCTACTGTAGATATAAGATACTACTCACTGATTACTAAATTATCGTGTTATAATCCCTGAGGTAGCAGAGAATTCAGTGGCTTTGCCACCATGGTTTTTGTATGCAGGTTTTGTTTTTCTTTTTTACACTGGACTATGTTAAAGGCTATTCTTTTTTTTTTTTTTTTTTTTTTTAATTTTTTATTGTGGGTTGTTCAAAACATTACAAATTTCTTGACATATCATATTCCACACTTTGATTCTAGTGGGTTATGAACTCCCACCTTCACCCCATACACAGATTGCAGATTCACATCAGTTACACATCCATTGATTTACAAATTGCCATACTAGTGTCTGTTGTGCTCCGCTGCCTTTCCCATCATCCACCCTCCCCCCTCCCCACCTCTCCCCTCCCCTCCCCTCCTCTCTCTCTACCCCCTCCACTGTATAACCCTGAGGGTCTCCTTCCATTACCGTGCAATTTACCTTCTCTCTCCCTTTCCCTCCCACCTCTCATCCCTGTTAAATGTTAATCTTCTTCTCTAAAGGCTATTCTTATAAGCTAGAACAAAGTGGTGTATTAAAATAGAAATTCTTTGTTTCCTTGGTTTGTGGTTTTTTCCTACACTTAGTAAGATTGCTAGTGAAGTTATCCTGAATAGTGTAAATACACATTAATCTCTATTTCTATAATTCTATGAACAAGAAAACACAGTATGTCAATTAATATGAAGAAACCTATGAGACTATTCCTTTAAACACCTCAGAAATTTAAAAAAAAAAAAACTTGAGAAATTTAATCACCAAGGAAGAACTGATTTAGCCAATTATAAAATGGAATTTTGAAGTTTCTGAGTCTGGCAGGGTCTGAGTACTCATATTGACTACCTTGAGGAAAGAGAGGCTTAGTGTCTATGAAATTTTGAATCTTTGATTTATGTTTCAGATCTTTCATCCTCAAATCACTTAGATCCCTAGTATTTTAGGAAGGAATCACATCACTCCCCTCCTCCCCTCCAAATTATCTATTTCCTTCCACTGAAATGAAGTGAAATTCTAGAAGATAAAATAAAGGCCAGAACTTTCTGGAAGTAAATATAAGAAGTTGAAGCTTATGTAACGTGTTTCCCTGTCAACAGGTCACTCACAGGGCTGTTTATACTCGGGATGGCTTGCAGAAATCATGGAAGTTAATTTTAGTTTTACAGAAAGGACTGAGAGTCAGATTGTGGTCTTTGCAGAAATTGCCTCCTTTAGCTTGTGAATCTTACCTTTCTGATTTCCGGTGCATTACCGGAGAGAAGGAAGCACTGTTTGTCCTGGGTATGTCCTTTCCTGCATCTGCTCGCCTGAGTCTCGGTGGGTGTGTGGGGGGCAGCCCTGGGGACAGCGGTTGTGAGCTTCCTAGTCCCTCGGAGGGTCAGAGTCTGATAGAAGAGACAGATTGCCACCACCAAGACCACAAAAAAGGGCCGGGGGCAAAATCGCCGACGACAAAGAAACACTGGACGACAGATCATGACCAGTTCAGCTTCACTTGGCCCCTGTCCACGTTGCCGGAAAAGTCATAGCAGCTATTTTTTGTCAGCATGAAAAATACAAATGTGTCTTCTTTTTCCACAACTCCAATCAAGTTTGCTCCATCTCCGCTTAAGAACTTTCCAAAGCGTCATGCCAAAAGATCGTAGGTCCCAAAAAGTCTGAGGTGGTTAATAAAAGTCCTTCCATGAATGACAGTGAAAAGTGACTGACCTCGGTTAAAAAAAAAATGAAAATATTAATAGACTATTAGTTACAAAACTAATAATCTGAGTGCATCCCAGGCTGCCAAACGGTTGGCTTCCGGCAATGTCTTATTTCCACGACATCCTTAAACTCACAGAAAAGGAGTCCAGCTCTGTCCCAGCTTTACAGAAAAAGAGAAAAATAACACCAAAGTAAATCTGGAGTCTGAAAACAGCACGGAAGAACGCAATAGGTTAAAACCCAAAGTGCCTGTTGCACAGCTGGATGCAGGCCAGGTTGCCCTAGCAGTTTTTCCTCCGGTTTTAAAGCAATACTGTTTCAGCCTTTTATGTTTCTTAACTGCTTCCCTCCATTCAGTTTTAAATTGCCACTTTGCTGTAAAGCATCCACGACTTTTAACATTAAGAGGGAACAAGCGGTTTGAATGGACATGATTAGTGTCAGGGTTTGGCTTGTCTTGGTTTCATTCCGTTTCAAGTTCAAAGTTCTGTGTACTTACTCAGTTTTCATCCTTTTAGCCAGAAAAAAAGTTTCCATGATCCCCCTAATGGATTGCTGATCAAAACCACTCGGAAGGAAACGCCCAGTCGTATGACTCCAATTCATCTCACACACCCCGACACACACGCGCAGACACGCAGACACACACGCGCGCGCCTGCTACACACTCGGCCTGGAGCTGGCGGACCTGGGGCATAGCAGCCACCCAGGCCGGCGGAGCGGAGCGGGGCGGGGCGGGGCGGGGCTAAGGCCTGGAGCTCCTCTGGCTCTCCCCAGGCAGCCGGAGCCGCGCTGTCAGCTCTGAGTTGGAAACGGTGGGCTTCCACAGACTGGGAAAAGAGGTTTTGATTTTCCCTGAAATGTGGCTGCCTACCCAGAGCTGCAGAATTTGGAAACATATCTGCTGTCTGATTCGCTGTTTAATTGCTTTTTTTTTTTTTTCTAACACAGCATTGGAAAAACAAATAGTTCTTAGTCAATCGATGCCAAAGGTCAAAGATGAGACTAAAGCAGACTCAATTAATTCGTAAGTCCTTCACTCTGGGGAATTGTGGTCACACTTACAAGGATAAGAGGGCCACCAGCACTGTCTGGACCACATAACAGGAAATCTTGTTGCATGCACCAGGATCAGGATAACTGAAGTCCGTACTTCTTTCACAGTAGTTACTAACACTTATTTCCTGAACTAATGTCCGGGTTTTACAAAGCCTAATTGCTACTTTGCTTTCTAAAATAAATTGTATGTAGCAGATGTTGGTGTAATTTTTGCCCAGTAGAAAGCGGTACACAGCCAGCTTTGCCCAAAATTCAACCCAGTATAATTCTATACAAACCATCACATGGACACTGCTGGTCCTGCCAGTTGTGCAAACTCCATTCCCTTTTGCTGGGTCAGTTGAAGGACCATCAAAGAGAATCTGCTGGGGCTTGTTGCTCCCTCTCCCAGTCCTTGCTTTGCGAACTCTGGATAGTAGGACTGGCCTAGACCCATGGAAGACATTCTTTGAAGGCTTTGAACCTAGATAGCTGCTATAACCTTTTCTAACCGAAATTCTTCCTTGTGGGCTGAAATTCTCCACTGAGGCCACACCCCTACAGTGAACCCAATCCAGAGGCAAGCTGCGTGCGGATCCGTCGCTTGTATTTTATGAGAAGGAGCGCCCTCTAGGGGTGCCCAGCTAACGTAGACTCAGAGAAATGGGCATCTCTGAATCTTTCTTAAGAAGGAAAAATATCGAGTGTCTTAAAAATATTACTTAAAGCATTAAAGAATAAATATTCACCATAAAGCCATATTTATTTCAAGTCTGTGTTTTCTCTCAGAACATTTTATTAGTTAATATAGATTCAGAGTCCTCAATTCCATGACAAATGAAGAAGAAAATAATGAAGTGGCGCTTGACATTGAAAAGCCAAGAGTTTTAAGAGGAAATGGTTAGACAATAGTGTTGTAAGACGTATAATTTGAGGGGATGTAATGGGACTTGAAGGATATTAGGAATTATGAGATCTCTAAGTTGGAATGGTCCCTGAGCTAAAGGAATGCAGAATGTGACATTGCTGCTTACTGGGTGATACAGAATGAGCAGGCTGTTCTATTGAGGCCAGAAGTCTGAAAATACAAGGTGTGAGAAATCTGAAAGACCATTTTTATGCATCATTAAATAGCCGAGTATAACATATAGAAGGAAGAGTAAATCAGATGTGCAGATAAAATTGCCTTTGGGTTGGGGGAAGTGAAAAACAATAGCATTAAAAGTTTAAATAAGATGCTAAAGTTAGACTCAAATAATAGTAATCAAGAAGAAGATGGGGGAAAAAGCATTCCAGAATGATTCTGGAAAGTTGAAGAACCCAGTTTCCATTTTAACCACTGAGTCCCAGGGAGCAAGAGAAGACAATAGATAGAGGGATATTGGCAGGAGAAAGAAGGGGGGTTGTTAAAGTAAGACCATAGGAAAGAAAGTACAGTACAAAATTTCACCAAATCATCTGAGGAGATCCACAGGTGACATCTGATTTTAGAGTAAACCCAATCTTGATGTGACCCTAGCATTTACTGCCTATTATCACTGTTCTTAAACAAGTGATTTGACTTATGTAAGTCTCAACCTTCCGCATCTGTGAAATAAAGACACTAACTTTGAAGTGTTGTTGGCACAACATAGATGATAATATACGGGAAGCACTTAGACATCTGGGAAAACCTCTTGGGTGAGTGTATGCTGAGTGCAACTCTGATATCAAAGTTTTGAACCTGGAAGCTGTGCTCAGTCCTCACTGAACTTATGGTGTGCTGTGGTGTGAGACCACGTACAGATAAGTATCAAATATTGGGCCTCATGGAAAATAAAGTACCAAAAGTAAACACCAGCACTTATTAGTTGTTCTCTCACTTTCAGTCTTCTATATGTAGGTGAGGCAGGTGCTGGTTTGTCCTTCTAGTAGAAGGACAAAGGTGCCATGAAAGTGAGCTTGTAGGGATGACACATGGGATATAGTCATGACTAAATAGGAAGTTAGATCTATTTGGGTTTTCTCAATTTAAATTAAAAATTTAATACTTAAAAGCACAAAACTATACACTTTAATGAATACCATGTAACATTTTGTACATGAACGTATTGTGTAAGGTTTAAGTCAGGTTAAAAGTATATACGTCCTCAAACATTGTTCATTTTTTATGGTGAAAACATTAAAATCCTTTCTTCTAGCTTTTTGAAACGCACAGTACATTGTCATGATCTACAGTAACTTTATTGTGCCATATCACACCAGGACTCTTTCTCTCAATTATTGCTTAGTCCCATTGATTAACTGTTCTGCATTCCTCCCTCTCTACTACCAGCCCTGACCTCTAGTAATCACCTTTCTACTCTCAATTTCCATGAGATCAACTTTTTATATTCCTCATATAATTGAGACCATCCAGTACTTTTCTTTGTATGCTTGGATGCTTTTGCTAAAACTAATGATTTTTGTTTCCATCCATGTTGTCACAAATGACTGGATTTCATTCTTGTCATGGCTGAAGAGTATTACACTATTTATATATACTACGTTTCCTTTTCATTTGTTTCTGTTTCTTGGCTACTGTAAACAGTGCTGGCAACGAACCATGGGAGAACAGATGTCTCTTTGGCATACTAATTTTATCAAATTGCTGGATCATGTTCTATTTTTAATTTTTTGAGGAACCGCCATACTGTTCTCCTAATGGTTGTATAATTTACATTCTCACCAACAGTGTGAAAGGGTTCCCTTTTCTCCACTTTCTCACCAGCACTCATTATCTTTTGTTGGTCCCTCTCTTCCTCTTTCTTCTGGTACTGAGGATTGAACTCAGGAACACTTTACCACTGAGCTTCATCTCCAATCCTTTTTGTATCAAGAAAGGGTCTCAGTAAGTTGCTGAGGCTAGCCTCAAACTTGCCAACCTCCTGCCTCAGTCTCCCAAGCGTCACTGGAATTATAGACTTGTGCCACTATGCCAAGGCTCTTTTGTCTTTTTGATATGAATTCTCTCTGGAATGGGGTGACATCTTACCATGGCTTTGATTTTCCCTGAGAGACATTAAACATTTTTTTCAGATGTCTTCTAGTAATTTGTATATTTTCTGAGAAATGTCTACTTAGTCTATTGCCCATTTTTTAAAACCAAAATTTGTTTTGTTTTTGCTATTTTTTTTAGTTCCTTACAGATCAGATATATTTCAATGGAAGGCTAAGTAGAAGCATGAAATGAAGTTTGAAGGCATCAGACCAGAGAACACTAAAGCCTAATAAGTTGGGCCAGTGAGGGGATCAGGAGCGTAAATGTACAGTAAAACTAGGAACTAGGGATTCTGGTATGTTTCAAATTGAATGCTTCTATGCATATAGTTCCACGAAGTACCCTTTCCATTCCACAATTGCAGCATTCAAGGGCACATATTTAAGTAGCACTAAGACAATAGAGACAACCCTATCCTATAATTTCAAGGTTGTACAAAACAGATCAATCTTCCTCCCAAATCTTTTCAGCATAAAATATCAGAGCAGTATGATGTTAACAACCTTATAATCTCATTGGCTTGATACAATAAAAGCCATTTTTTAAAAATTTTTTGTGTAGTGCTGGAGATTGAACCTAGGGCCTTGTGCATGTGAGGCAAGCACTCTACCAACTAAGCTATATCCCCAGCCCCAAACCCTGTTTCTTTTATCATTTTTCAGTGTTAGCCAGTTTCCACACTTCATTCCCAGGGTTCCTGCCATCTGCTCAGTTTCTATAGCCTAGACTCCTGGATAGCCACTTGGCTCCTCTAAATCCCACTAACAGATGAGGAAAAGGGATGAGCACAGCAGCTAGTGAGGGAAGTCTTTTAGAAGTCAAGTTTCTAAACTGGCCTATATCCTTTGTCTCATATTATTGATTAGCACCTAATCACATGGATCCACCTAATGGAAACTGAGCTGGGAAATGAGGTCTATCTACATGCCAAAGATGAAAAGGAAACAAGGGTAATAAACATAGTAGTCCCAGCCACAACTTAAGATGATAAGCCAAGGCTCATGGAGAGTCAAAATAGGGAGTTCACATCTTTTGGCAAGTGATAAGAAAGCCTTAAAAAAGAAAAAAGGTTACTTCTCAACTGGGCCCTGAAGAGCCACAAAGATTTCAACTGCTGCAAAAGGGAAAAGATGAAGCTAGAAAAGAATGTCAGGTACCAACAAGGGAGGATGAAATTTCCAAGCTTAGGAGTTTATTTAGTCTTTATCTGTAGATAGAAGGAATCTAGAAGATTCTTTCCCAGAAGATTTATTAATGAAGATAGTGTGCTAGTTGACAAAGTAGGATGAATCTGAAAATAATATCTCATCAGCGTTGCTTTTAATTGTAAACTCACAAAGCAAAACCTCCTTTCTTTCCTAATGGGCATAAAAACAATAACCTAGATTAAGTTCATTAATTGTTCTGAGAAATGCACAAATTTAAGAGAAAGATTTATGTGAAATATCAGATGCCTAATTTAGGGACTTCTCTATCCCTTAAGAGGCAAATGCTATACTCAGGTAATGTATATGCAAATGTATATGCAAATGTACTTGATTATGTATTATCCCACAAAGTTATGGAAAAACAGAACATCATTCTACATCAGATTTACGATCATGATCCTTTCACACATATTCAACAGTTTTCATTTTCCACTAATTATAGTACAAACCCCAAGTAGAATCTACAGTGAGGTTCATATATGGTATTTGATATACTCGACATTAGTTAACAGAAACACAGTTCTGCAGTTTTTCTGCGATTTCTAATGCAGTCAACCTTTAATTGCTTTATTT